CCCCATTGGCTCTTACAGCTGCAGTTATGCCCTCCAGTATAATTGTAGGTAAATTGGACTATAGTAACTTTCAACATATTTATAAATATATTTTAATATCACTACACACGTCTTCATAGGCTACAAACTAAATCATGGCTGCGTAATGGACATCAGAGGGAAGTTCAGTAAAAAAGATTGTACTGTACTTCTATGCTCCGACAATTATGCCTTCTCCAACCCACGCCGGGCAGCGTGACGGACCTACACGGCGTGGTGAGGCCCTCATCCAAGCCATGGATTGGCAGGAGGCACCTGTGCATACAGCCATCTACAAATCGACTCGCAAACAACCGAGAGGTGTCCACAGCTTGTCGTTCATTACGGCAACGAATACATGCATTCGTTAAACAGAACGATCGACGGCGGCTGCGCGAAACCCCCAAAGTGGGTTAACAACATACGCGTGGGATTACGCACGCGCCTCGACTGCAGTATTGGCGAGCACCTCCTCATCCTCCCCCCCCGAGGGCTGATGCCACTGCGGGTGCGAGTGTGAGTAACGTGCAAAAGGATAATTGTGCGGAGGGCTTGTCTGCATTCCAGGCGCGACGCGGCATGTCCTCCCCATGGCACTCGAGTCACCACGAACTGCCTCGTTCACTTCGCATCAGCCCTGGGCTTCGAGAAACGCGGAAATACAGGCGAGCATTGTCGCAACACAAAGGTTTTCCTATAGATGGACTTGGCCCCTGCCATATCAAAGAGAATTTACAAATTAAATCATCCGCCCCCCCCCCTCCCACCCCGAATGTGATAAGTTGGCAAGACCCTCCTGAAAATGAGTCGTGAGACTCGGTGAGGCTTTTCTGGGTAAACAGCTGTGAAGGGAAGACTCTGCTTCCCTTCACGGGCAAGACCGCCTCAGCTGTACTTAATTCGGCCCACTTGGTTTCACTAATCAAGGACATATCACTGGCCCCGGATGTTTTGCTTGTCAGTTTCGATGTAGTCTCCCTCTTCACCAAGCTACTCGTACCTGGTACTATTGCAATCATTGAAGACCTAGTCCAACAGGGATTGGATCCTGATGTACCTTCGTTGGTAAGGCACTGCCTACCAACACTTACTTCACCTGGAATGGTACTTTTCTACAAACAGAATGAAGGTACCCCAATGGGCTCTCCCCTATAACCAGTGGTAGCGAACATTTTCATGGAGAAATTTGAGACAGATGCCATCCAGACATCCACCCGACGTCTTTCCTTGTGGAAGAGATATGTAGATGACACGTTCGTCATCTGGCCACATGGCCGGATGGCACTACACCAATTTCTCAACCACATAAATTCCATACACCCATCTATCAAATTCACCATGGAAGTGGAAAATGATGGCAAGCTACCATTCCTGGATGTTTTGATCGAGAAGAGACCTGATGACTCGTTGGGACACTCTGTCTATAGGAAAGCCACCCACACAGATTCCTATCTATAGCATGACTTCCACCACCATCCAGCCCAGAAGAATTCCCTCATCAAAACACTACACCATAGGGCCCATTGCATCTCCGACCAGCACCACCTAGCCAATGAGCTTGAACACGTATGCCAGGCTCTCAGGAGGAATGGATATTCTAACCGCACAATCCACAAAGCTGCATCCCCTACCATGGGTAGATAACTATGAGGACCCAATCAAAATCATCACCTTACCATACATAGCAGGGGTCACCAAAATGATTGCCAAAATCTTAAACAAACTCAAGATCCAAGTTCGGTTCAATACAGTACACAACATCCGTGATTGTATCCCATCGGTGAAGGATGCGATTCCGGACATGCAATGTCCTGGTGTCTATAAGCTGGGTTGTGTCTGCGGCAGCAGTTACATTGCTGAAACGAAGCGACGTGTCTCAGACCGGGTTCGCGAACACAAAGCGGATTTGAAACACGGCAGAACCAACTCCTCGGCAGTGGCGGATCAGTTTCAATGCTGTGGGCACACGTGACATTGTTTTCTCCGAGATCAAGGTGCTCTGCAAACCCTCGGGCCACCATCAGAGATTTGTTCATGAAGCCATCCAGATATACAAACAGAAAGCTTAAATCGAGAAGATGGATTCAGATTGAGCAATCATTGGAAGTATGTGATAAACCGCGTCAAGTTTGAACTGCTATGAGTTTTACTCACCCACCCGGTTGTCGTCGTCAGATTACGACTTGTACTACAAGTCCATTTACTTGCTAATTTCTCTAGCCCCACCCGCCCCTGCACGCCACAAACCCTCCCCCCTGTGAACTCCTACAGCCAAACTCCTTCCCCCCTTTCCCTCCCGTGCCTATATAAAGCCACAACAGCAGATATTTTTAAATCCTTTATTTTAAATTTACTTGCTTGCTTGCGTGCTTGCGTGTTTGCGTGCTTGCTTGCTTACGACCGTGCAAATTTTTCGCTCGTTTTTTAACCCACTTCCCGTGATCCAATCGAGCTGACATTTTGCACACAGACTCGTTGTGCGTGACAATTATTTTTCGTGAAAAAAAATTCCAAAATTTTACACTGTTTAGGGATTTTTTTTAAAAATATTTAATTACCAATTGTTTAATGGTGGCAGACAATCATCTGACCCATAGGTGGCAGCCATCTCAAGCCAGAGGACGAGAGGACTCTAGCCGCCCGTTTCATGATGACGCAAATGTTGACTAACCACATGGCATGAAATCCCTGCCCCCATGCTGTACAGTGAAGACTATTTATAGAGCAGTTAAATTGAGGCCGCCAGGTTCTTGAAAGTGGTAAAACGGGTCAACGCAAGTGCCCTTGGGAATATACGGGGCATGTCAAGAGGTGATCTTTCATTTTTAAATCCTTTATATTAACTTCACTTGCTTGCTTGCTTACTCAAGAAAAACAGAAATGAATAATAAAATGAAACCGATGCCACGCATATAAAGGATTTATAGTGAAAAACTTTTGTTTTTACGGGTTAATTTCTTAAATCCTTTATATTAAGTTCGCTTTCTTGCGCGCTTACGACCGTGCAAATCTGTCGGTCGTTTTTAACCCACTTCCCGTGATCCAATCGAGCTGACATTTTGCAGACTCGTTGTGCGTGACAATTTATTTTCGTGAAAATTTTTTTCCAAAATTTTCCACTTTTTAGGACATTTTTTTTCCATATTTAATTTAAAATACCAATGTGATAAAAATGAAACTCTTACTCAAGAAAAACAGAAATGAATAATAAAATAAAACCGATGCCACGCATATAAAGGATTTATAGTGAAAAACTTTGTTTTTACGGGTTAAATTTTTCTCACCTGAAGACGGACGCTTGTGTTACGACCAAAACGTCGGGTTTTATTTTATTGTATTCTATCTACGTGACTTTACCGAAAGAAACAGAGAGTAAGCATATTCATACTAATTAAAAATTGGGCGTGTATGTGTCCATAAATGTGGAGCTTGGCCAGGTGGTGGTCGCAGCACATCTGTGAAGTTCCCTCCCTGTCCTTCGGCGTTGAGGTTGTCATCTCCGGACTTGACAGGGCATGGCAGTACCGCAAGTGGATGAATTGCCATCTATATTCCATCTGTACGGGGATTTAATTTTGCCCCCCCCCACCAGCACCAGTTTTCCTCCCACATGTCTAAACACTCATGGAGTTGAACAAAAATCTCAATATAGGCAATTGTTGGCACTGCTTTTGCGCGTTGTATTTTTTTTTACCCCTGGACTAAACTGCCAGTAGACATGGGTGATACTTTTTAATACAAAATATTTTTTATTCCACATCCTCCCTCACATCATACATTGTAACATCCTGGCGTTCTGGACGGCATTACCATAGATATCAACGTTTCAAGCACACCGGACTCATGAGAGCAGGCAGGGGGATGAAACTTTTGATGTCTATAACAGTAAATTAATTTACAGAAGTCAATGCACTGCTGGATCTTGGCCACCCCACAGTTGGTTCCCCGGGGTTGTTTACTATACGTTACCGTGCTGGTCACTGTAGGTTGGGGAAAGGTGGGGGCCCAGGTATGACCTGCCACTTACGTGAGGCATAGACGGAAATCGAACTCAGGCCGCTGCATTCACAACAAAACCATGCGAACCACATTGTCACCACTCCTTTACTTGACCAGGTGATATCCTGCTGAGGTTGTGGGTAGACAAAGGGAAACCAACTATATTCTTCCCCAATTGTGGCTTAATAACCCTGGAATATATGGTGGCAAGGCCAGGATTTGGATCAAAGAGCCCTGGACCTGCCTTTGGATGTACTTGCATGATCAGTACTGGAGAAACAAACTGCAGGGCAGTGTTGCCCACCGCACGCGCTGATGAGAATGTATCCACATTAGGTAATTGTCAAGTATATATCGCCCAAGGACCATCAACTGCTGGATAAAGCCCTTCCCCACTTCATTGCCAACTCTAATGGCAATCTCACTGCTCTTTCCTTTTGGGTGTTCCAACTGCCACTTAAGCACCAGTCTGGTCCATACATAATTTGTGAGCAGTCATCTCATCTCACAACTGTTAAGTTTATAATCGTTCAGTACCGCAGTCCCTCCATTAAGTGAGTTTAAGGGGTTTTCGGTAAACGTTTCACCTCCCATAGGACCCTCATGGTTTAAAAATGTTTTATTAACGATATGCATGCTGTTATGCGCGGGGGTGCCAATTTCGGCCAAAACGCTCGTAAATGGGCTGAGCATGCCTCGGCAAATCAGCGATGCCCATTTGAGGATTCAGACCTCGACTGGCTTTATTTTACATATTCTGTTTTGGCAGTGGAAACAGCTCTCTTGCACTCATATAATTCCTATATTCGATAAAGTTATTTCAGTTAACAGTAATTTTAGTCAATGGATTAAAACCCTTAACCGAGGGACAACTGTACACTTTCAAGTTTTTCACATCGTCTGTATTTCTGATAAACGTCATTGCTTGGTAGAAATGGACATTCCACACTGTCAAGTCAAACAAGCACAAAGGAACGCGAGCGTGCAATTTGATAGTTTATTGTCGAAGATTTCACGAGACAACAGGCTGACCCCGCCCCATCCCCTGATCAGTGCATGCCACACCGCCAGGAGAAGTGGCAGGCGGTATCATCTCTTTTAATCCTCCTCCTCCTCATCCGCGCCACCAGAGCCACCCTGGCCCTTCTTCATGTTCTTTCTCTTGACGCGGCCGGGACGGCCGCCACCGTACGGCGAGCGCAGGGAGAAGTCGATGTGCTTCTGCGAGTCCAGGCGCACCATGTATGACGGGATGTTCACAACCTGCTTGCGCACACTGTGGTGGTGGTGGGGCACGGTCAATGGCACAGACAACATGGGGTGAGAAATGCCGGTTGTTGTGCAACACCGAAAATTCAAGCGACAGTCGTGTCAAAAAGAATTAGGGGGGGGGCAATGTTGCTTCGTTGAGGATTGCTGCTGGGTAGAAAGGTAAAAAAATATTTTACCCAACATGTTTTAGGCAAATAGCCACAAGTCTGAGCTGTCCAATAGGTGGTGGTAAATCATAGCAGGTTGCTGACCTAATTTTAATCTTTTTACTTCATATTCTGGCAGTCAGGGCTTTGGAACAATGAGTCTGAATGGTCGTCTATACTGGATGACTCTGACCAAAGACATTTTAATAATGATTATCCTGGACTGATTGTTCAGGGTGAGTTGCATAAACACTTTAAGTTCTTGTTTTCTGTTGCTTTACTTTAAAAATAACAAACTGAAGGGTTTTGCGCAACAGGCAAAATGTTTACGGTGGCTTGTGAAGATAACTTAATAAGGAGTTGCTTGGCCAATATATTTCAATACTGTTTAACACGTAGGCTTTCTCGCGACCCATATCATCCATAATAGGTTTTTTGAGTTAGATCGCGTAGATATATGGGTCATAAAAACCCGCCACCATCCGACACAGCCAACCAGTAAGGGTTGTCACGTAAATTGGCATGTTCTGTTTACGTGACAACCCTTACTAGTTGGCTGTGTCGGGTGGTGGCGGGTTTTAACGACATTTATATATTTACGCGATCTAACCCAAAAACTTCTATTATGGATATTTAAATACTTAAAAACTCAGCTCAAAATCAAGGAGCTTTCACATCAGAAATGCAGCCAGACTGTCTCGGGCTGATCAACAAGGAGTTTGAATCTTGGTAAGTGAAAGACATTAAAATGTCCAGTCAAGTGAATCAATACAATATAACAATTTAGTGATGCCACTCATTTTAAATCGTCAATGACAAATAATAAAACTTGCACCTTGAGACACATCCTCACAAGCTAATTGGCGTTGGGGTGCATTTTTCTTTGAGCATGCATTATCAGATTTGGTAACAAATACTCACTCCACGGCGGTGTCATTGCCCTGCCTCCTTGTCAAAGCGGGCCACGAGGCTTCGCGAAAAACGCGCAAGGTATACGACATGCGTCGAATTGACCTTGCCGAACTTGTCATCGTCACAGGTGGGCCCCGTCCCCTCACCGGATGTGGCGCTGGCGAATGAGCACGCGGGCGTGGTGGATCGACTTGGCCAGGCCCAGCTTGAACACCTGCGTCTGCAGCCGACGCTCGAGGAAGTCCTCGATCTTCAGGCCGAGCACGTAATCGAGCTTCATCTTGGACTCGTCCAGCACTCCGATGCGCACGAGGCGACGCAGCAGGGCGTTACCTGTGATTGTCGCGGGTGCAACACAAGGTGGAATTATATTGAGCCTAAATGCAGCCGTATCTCAAAGATTCTGTACAGAAAGGGTAGGTAGATATTGTATTACGTAGAGGCAGGAGGGCAGACCACACACATTAGGATCAACATTTGGCAAGACAGCAGAGTCCAGAACGTTAAAAGCTCTGAATGCACCACCAATAAGCGGGTGTCTCACGTGAATGGTGGGTGATGTGCATATCCGTTAGTGACCCTGTCAGATGGGGAAATCCTACACTTCTATGGCAGAGATCAGTGTCTCCATAGGACACCTATTGCTCAGCACTCGTAATTAACCAAAATATACAACCATGAGTCCAAGAGACCCAGCATGATGTCTTTGGATCAGAGCACTATAAAAGGACTACTTTAGGACTGCTTACTAGAATTAGACTCCGCTCCAGGGAAATGGGGGTGACTAAATTTGCTCCCATACCACTGCATCTGATGTAAGCAACTTAACCACAAATGGTGTTTTAAACGATAACCAAAGTTGTCAAAATACCATTTTTGTTAGGTCCTCACCAATCAAACATTACACATCCAAATCTTTAATTAAACGGGGGGGGGGGGGGGGGGGAGCTGGAACTTTGAGGAACCCCCAATGTAGAAGGGGACGTCGTTTTAGGGTCCACGGGGAGGGGGGGGGGGCGGGGGGGCTCACCCTCGAACAGGCGCCTCGGGTCCTTCTCGTCGAGCGTGAGCAGGTCGCGGGCGGCCTTGCGGATCTTGGCCAGCGTGAACTTGACACGCCACACCTCGCGCTTGTTCCTCAGCCCATACTCGCCTGTGCACACACGTAGGCAATGCATTAAGGGGATTAAAGCGCCTCTGAAGTCTCTTCTCCACAACCCATCGTGCCCAGTCTTATCAGAATTGAAGATGCTCAGCAGCGCTGAGCCTGAAGATAATGCTTGGATCGGTGACCGCCTCGCACAAACACGTTTATCGCCGACCATCGCGTAGAAGTATGCTGTAGTAATTTGCTGACCGGCCCATACTGGACATCTGTGAAAAAGAGCTTCTTAGCTCATCGGATTCCTACAGCCTAAATAAAGACTATGATGGTCAAATAAAGCCCACAATATGCATGGCAAAGCCCTCATCCAGCAGTGGATGAACAAAACCGCTGTACATCGACTAAAAGGCATGTGTTTTTTTCTCAACATTTTGCACTAACGGTGGTTGATACGAATCGCGAGACACTGGGAGTTGAGGCGAAGAAACGTGAGAAAATGTGCAAGAGACAAGACGATACTCGACATGTATCACGGCGGCCTTGCCGCTTGCTTACCGATGAGCTTAAGCTCCTGGTCCAAGCGAGACTTCTCGAATGGACGGCGAGGAGTGACGTACGTCTTACTGCACACCCACGACTTGGCCACCGGCATTGTGGCTCAAGTTCTGGAAAAGAACAAAATAAACAGCGCGTTGTTGAAGTCGTGAGATACGTAAACATGCATGTGCAGCACTGTATATGCAATCCTGCCCCCTGGAACATTGACACATACGCAAAACGAAAGCGACTGGAAAAACATTAACCCATGCTGTTTTAAGAGACGTTATTACAACATTGCTGCCGTGAAATTGACGGCCCCGGGGTTACACAGTTGAGATTCGCTCAAGGTACGCTAAAGTTGTCGCGTTTAGTGGGGCTACTGGTCACTAGGGGTTAGCATCCCCATAAAGCATGGCTTAACAGCAACCACCTTTAGAACATGCGGTCTTAATGCATCGACTGCAGCCGTGTCGAATGATTTCACAACGCCGAGACAAAAATTGCAGCTCGCGATTAAAAAAACTGTACTAAGTGCCGGTCGAATCAGTTACTCTCCTGTAATAATCTAAATGCGACTAGAATCAAGTCACGAAGTACACGTGGAAGGGCCTTGAGAATATTGTAATAAAACGCGTCCCCCAAAATAAAGTTTTCTTAAACAGTCTACTCATTAATCTCGATATGTAATGTCTACACAATTATTGTTGGTAATATCCCACTCGGCTCAAAGCTCAGCGAGTAACAAAAAACCCTTGCAGCGTTTAAATTACTATTTATATCGCCCGGCAACATAACGTCGTAACACAATAGTTATTTTAGGCATTTTATAACGAATTAAAATAACATTCACACAATCTCGAAAGCCACGTGTCCCGCGCAAGGCCTAAAAAGCCTTAGGCCTACCCGCCTCTACACTCTCAAACAGGCAAACACCAACAAACCCTCTAAAACCCGCAAACCAACACACTCTGGCGGCTCTCTTATTCGGCCGGCGACTTTTGCTCTTACACTAACAAGCGTTCGAACGTGAATTTTGTTTAAAAATTGCGATTATCACGAACGTCCAACGCGAGCCGCAAAAAGCCGCCCGCAGCCTCACCGAGACACCCGCAGAGAAAGGAGTCACTTCCGGCGACGCACCGATTATATCGCTCCGCCACCGCCCCACCCCCCCACCACTCGAAAGGGGCGGGACCGCATCACCGCCTCGTCTAACGTTGCCATGGGTACAAGGGGGGCGGGGTGCGGAATCGTCTACGTCCGCCGCCAAGAAATAATCCGATACAACATTCGCAATGCGGTTATCTAGTATGAGACTATCGTTCTCAAATTGGGGGGGGGAAGTGATACTTAATTGACCCATTTTTCTATTAGCACATAACGCTGTTTGAAATTGTTCTTGCAGTGGTTATTGTCGGGGGCGGGGCTTATCTTGAACCCGTTCCGGTTGAAAGGTCACAGAGGAGGAGTAGAGTACAGTGCGGTGCACTGTAAGTGTGGCAGCGTGCGTCTGTGAGTCGTAAGGAAGTTTGATTTCATAGCTGTCAACCCATTCGTGTTTGACCACGTCTTCTTGTTCAGGGGATCTTAAAGGTGCATTGAAAAATGATGATACTCCGACTGATGCTCCTGCTGTTGTGGAGTGACCCATGCAGCCAGATATGGCTGCAGGGTTTTGGTGTTACATGTTGTTTATGTCGTTTATTGTGAAAATTCCGTCACAGTTCGGTTTGGCGGGGGGTTTAAAGTCATTATGCCCGTGCATTATGCAGGATTAGCAGCATCCTACGCATTTCACAAGTAGTACTAATCGCATATCTGCATTTCCCATAAATATGCTAAATTCCTCTTGATATGCAAATTATTTTGTCAAGGCACCCTTCCCCCCTCGATTCTAACTTAAATAGTCGCTCCAAGCCTGGAGTGTGTCATTCATACTCTGTCTTTTCGACAGACATGTTCTTCACCTGAGGACGGCTGCTTGCGTTGTGGCCGAAACGTGAGAATTATTTTATAATGTTTTATTTTTATTATTTCCATTCTACGTGACTTTACCGAAAGAACCAAGAAGAGGGAAACGCAATGTTTGTCTATTTGTGTTTCTTGTGATGGGGACTTTGTAGGATTAACTTTGAGGTTAATAAGAGATTCATAAGGTCTTAATTGGTCTGTAATAAGGAAGGCATTGATAAGGGGTTGACAGGTTTGTCGTATGGCCAATGTAGATGCAGAACAACGACTACATGCTCACATTCAGGTGGTCAAGCTCAGATACCCGGTTCAGAAACAGTGGTATTTCCTTCGTATTTGTTGTGTGTTGTCCCCACCCCTTCCCCCACTCCCGCATCTCCGATTAGCACAGTTGGTCACGTAGGGTGCGAAAGAAGTTCAACACACAGTACGTTTACTTTTAAGCACCGTGAATTATACCAACGCAAAGCATCTGCTGTGTTCCTGTGAACGTTGTATGCTTCGAGGGTTTGCTGGCTTCTGGCTGGTGGAACTGAGTTCCGTGTCGCATTTTGCACAGGGGGATGAGTGAGGAATCCCGGTGGCATGGATGGCGTCGTGAAGCAGCGGTGAAGTACGGTGCTTGAGGACTGAACATATGAACGCACCTCGTGGGTCAGTGACCACTTAACAACCTCCAACGCCGCTAGTTTCATCTCACTGCCAGCGCTCGTTAACGAACGGTGGTTGGCGCGCTGTGCCATAAACCCAACTCGCCCGAGTTATATTCCTGCTAACGATAACAGTGGCCAGGGATATCGGAAACCAGTCACTTTCGTGGTGCAGAACGAAACGAGTTTTGAATCGAACAGGGAGCACTATTTGTAATATTGAATTATTTCTGGGTGAATTGTCACAATACTTTTTTTTTACTTAATTTCAAGTGTCACTCTTAAAGCCAGGGCATTGTTGCTGAGAGTTTTTCTCATCGAAAATTATCAATTTAGTTTAATATATACGACGTAAAGTTAGCAATATAATACCGTTTGGAAGTAGCCAGAAAAACAGTAATAAAATATTGACAATCATAAGTCAAGGAAAGCTCAGATGTCTAGATTACAACACCTTTAAGGGATGTTGAAGCATGGCATGCAGATGTTTGCGCATTTTAAATGCTCGTGTGATGGCAATGCTGAATTTTTGTGAAACGTTTTCTCCTTCTACTTTATGATATTACAGCAGAGCCTTGAATTTGGAGAAACTTAACAACGATGAAGAAGTTTCACAATCCAAGGGTAATCGTCTACCTTGAACCAAACCCAAGAAATGTTTTTCATTTCTTTTGCTTTCTTGGCTTTTTCTTTTCAAATTTTCAACTTCCTTTTCTTCCCCCACGAACATCCGTAGCTCTCTCCATTGTGACTCCACTAGGCTGCTCTTCTGCTCATTTTTAATGTTCTTTGTTTTCATAAATGTGATTCTGATATTACTCTGTCACCATATCTTGCCCTGTGTCATGCATTTGCCTTTTTTATTTGAAGTTTTTTGTATCAATGTATCCCGGCTACAGCCACATCACACAGAGGTTCAGCAACCCACATTTGTTGAATGATGTCCCTTTGTCCCACTTCCTCTGATTCCTCAATGCATATACTAACAACCTTACATATCCAAAGAAAAAGCCTTAGCAAATGCAATACAAATATACTTAAACAAAATGAAAGTAATCGATGATGTGTTGGCAATAAACTTTAGTCACTTTTACCAAGTTTTAATCACCTGAACAATATTGAATCATTGCAGAAGCTGCACACCTTGACAAAGCTGCTCAAACACTTTGCTTTGGTGATTTGCTGCTCTGTTGGTGATTGAGACATTTCGCCAAAAATCAGTCAAGATGCTGCATTCGAAGATACATTCATCAGATCCTATTGTGATATACCACATGCAATTCTAGCCTTGAAGCGTCCGTCACCTCTAACCGATCTATCTACATTACTGAGCCCACACGCATCTACTGAGCTTAAATTGGCTTGAAAAGTATGGATCACCTTCAAATGCCAGAAGTTGTTTGGTTCGTTTGTGGAATTCTGCTCCGCTGTGGTCATCAATTGACACATTGAAAAACATGACAGCAGGGGGCGCTGTAACTTTTTGAATGACCGTCTCCATACACTGCGGACTACATTTTAATTTGACCATTTCTATTACAACGTGACTGGCCACTCTTTCCATCGGTCCGTTAATTAAGATTTGCTAAAGCTGCCATACCTTTCCAGAATGTACAGTTCTTTTGTCAATCCACTGTTGGATGAGGCCCCACCCCCCTCCACCATACCTGTGCAGGTCGTGGGGGATTCTTTTGCCAACTGCACCACGCTGGTCAGTGTGGGTTGGTAATTTTGGGGACCATAGATCTGGCAATATAGTACAGTACAATAATTTATTTCGCTGAATTGCCCTCCTTTGTGCACATTTCTTTAGAACTGCTTTTTGTGTTTAGTTGTCCTTCCCTGCAGTTCCGATTATCACGGTTGGCTACGTACTGTGTGAAAGAAGTTCAACATGCATACACCCAGCTCTGCATCCTACAGCACTTTTTTTATACTAGCTGGTCTCCAATCCGAGCACAATCCAGACTCAAACCTGCTTAATCTCCGAGATCTGAGGAGATCGAGCACATTCCGTGTGAATTGACCATAAACTATACCCCTTCATCATTACAAATGGACAGATGTACATAGCAAAAACGTTGGAGTTTTTTTACATTAGAACAGAATGCTTGTAAAACACATTGTAAATGTTTATTCCAAGCATCGGCGTGCGAGTGTGAGTGGCCTCGGCGCTTGTGTCTGTGTTGCCCCTAACTCGGCCCCTGTCCCTATCAGATGAGGACGCCTTGCAAGCTTCGACTGACTCCGCCGCCACCACCATGGACACTATCGTCTTCCGCAGTGACCTGGTTCTCTCAGACATCCACCTGTTCATGCCCAGCAGTAGGAGACTCATGGTGCGGCTGAACGCCGTCGGACAGCCTGGTCAGTGTGGCAGCAGTGGCGGTGGTGGTTGTGATGGTGGCGTTGGGATTTTGAGGTGGTGGAGGAGGAGGCTATGGTATGTGTGTTGTTATTAGTGTCGCACACAGCATCGTACAACTTGTGTGACAGAGTACCAATCCAGTAATATTTAACCATCGCTCGTTCTCACATTTGGAAACGAATTGTTGCAGTATTCACTCACATAGCGCGCGTTCGCGTA